AGAGTCATCCAGAAATTATAGCACTGGATCAACAAGTTGTGAAGAAACATGTTTGTACAGGAATCCACCCTGAGGGCAGTGGGACAAGGCAGGAACAAGGAGGGTTTTGAAGGAGTAAAAGGCTGGAGATGACCAGCTCTGGTTGTAGGATATGCTTGACAGGAGATGAAAAATGAATTTCTGATGAGAATCATAGAATCATTTATGTTGGAAAAGACTTCTAAAATCAGTGAATCTTACTCTTACTTTAACCCCACAGTGCCAAGCTCCCCCGTCCCTGCAGAGCTGCTCATCCCCATGCATGGCTGCCCAGAGATGAGGAATACCCTTCCTCTGCTCAAAAATCCAGTGAATTGTGGTGGTTTCCGTCCCTCATGAGAATTTCTTCACCTGTGCACTGTAGCACGGAAGGCAGACACACATTCTGCACTGTTCCTCACCTGGATTTTTTTCTAGATTTTAAAATACTCATATTTGTTATGAGTCCCCTGCAGAGGTGTTTTAAGTGTTTGGGTTTTGGTGCTGTAGGAGAGGGAAGGGTGTCACCAAAGCTCCGTGTGGGCTGTGTGCAGGACACAATGGTCCCCATGCAGTGTCTGTCTTAGTCCTCTGTCCAGATTGCCCCTGGTTTGTTTCCTTTGAAATACAGTATATTTTAGTGGTGCCTAAGTGGGTTTTTTGTCATCAGGTGCCATTTACTAGTCCCTAAGGGCCTGACTGTCATCCCAGTGCCATGTGAGCTCCCCTTGTGGGACAGTAATGTCAAAATCCTCACGTCTCTTCTCCTTTTCCCTTCCTCTTCCCCTTCATCATTCCTGGCTGAATGGAGTTTATTTGGGTGGGATTCCAGCTCATGCTTTCCCAGGCCCAGCAGCGTTGGGGTCCTCGTTAGCGTAACGCTGCTCTGAAGGCAAATGTCAGCAGGAATCTTGATTTAGGAATTTCTCAAGAGTTCATCGAGGGAGAGTTTACCTTTCAGCGCTGACCTTTCTCACTGAGCACAGACGAACGTGCGAGCGGGGTCTGCGTGAGCGTGGCAGTTTGCAGGAGAAGGCTCCAGACACACAGCCCTGCCTCCTGCCCCTGCCTCAGCCTGGGCTGCCAGCCTGCTTTGGGTTCCAGCTCTTGGCTCCTTGACATAAAGCACTTGGCTGAGCGTGGAGGAGCAGCTCACACGCATGTTAAATGGGGATAAAGGCGCTCTGCTGAAGGATGGGTTGGTAATAAAGCCTCACTGCCTGAAGAGGTCCAGCTCTTGCTGTGCCAGCCCTGCACAGCAGCTCCCAACTCCACCAGCACCAATACTGGCACTGAAAAAACCTGCTGGGGCTGCTTTATGAACCCTCATTTTTTATATCATTCTGTGTCCCATCTCACATTCCCTCACTGCTTTTCAGTGCTCCCCAAGCCACTGTAACACTGGGCAGAGTAAGCCTGAGGCTCCCCAAAGCCTGTCCCTCTGGCCTGCAGGCAAACGTTCACCTGCTGATCAAAATTCACAGGCTCGGAGCCTTTTCTGTAAGAAAACCACAGCAAATTCAAAGTGAAGCAAGCAACACATTAGTCCTGTTCCATCACTGCCAGAGCTCCTGGCTGCTGGCCCTTGATCTCCATCGGCGCAGGAAGGAGCTCAGAGGATGGAGGATGGCTGGGGCTGAAGATGAAAGGTGGTTGGCTGTGACTTAGAAGCACATCTAATCTTTTGCACATCTCTCCCGACCTTGATCTATCACAGGGCTTCCTGGGGACGCCTGGGATTGTGAATTTTGCATAGAGGGTGCCTTTGAGCTGGAGGTGCTTAGGCACAGTCTCAGAGCTGTGAAGTCACCCGCTGCAGGATGGCTTCCTGTGCACTTGCTTGGGAAATGGGACCTGAAATCCATCCTTTGCTGCCAGGATTTCCTGAGTGCTGGCAGTTCTTGCAAGGGGAGACGATGGCCCTGCCAGCCCTCCGTCACTGCTGATTCAGTCTGGTGGATCCAGAGTCAGGGATTCCTGCTCAGCTCAGGGTCTGAGGTCCCTGCTGGGACCCTCCTGCTCCTGGCATCAGGTCACAGCCACTGGTGCCCTCCCCTCCATGGACAGCACAATGCCCTGACAGTTCTGCAGCAACAAGCTTCCAGACATCTGCCCCAGCTCCTCTTCTTGCCATGGGATGTTGGTGGCCAGGGGAAAGGCTCCAGTTCCTTCCAGCCTGTGAGGAGTTAATGTCAGTGCTCCCTTGGACAACTCCTGACAACCTCCAACATCAGGAATTTTGTCACAGGACACAGGTTTCCAAAATGTGTTAACTTTTGTTAGTGATGCAGTATCTGGAGTCTAGAGGATTGCAGGCATTTTTCCTTCTTCCTTTCAATCCCAGGGTACTCCAGGTTTGTGTAAAACAGACTTGTTTCCAGGTAGCTCTTGCCAGAACACATTCACTAGCTGGGGAAGTGGTTCAGGGTCCCTTTGCTGTTGTGATGGTAAAGGTGCCTCTGGCTCCAGGTGAGCTCACCTGAGCTCCTGGAAGAAGACAAACACTTAGCATGGCTGAACAAATAATTTAAATACAGCTTTCTGAGGCTGCTGAGCAGGGGCTAATTATGGGAGCTTTCTGTTTCATTTGTAGGGTCTGGAGCGAAGTGTTGGCTCTGGAAAAGCTTCCAGCTTTTTCTGTGGAGTTTTTCAGGCACCACGTGGAGAGGTGCCAGGGTATCCCAGCCTCCACACAGCACTTCCCAGGCAGTGGAGCAGCCTTTGGCATGCCCTTCTCCCTCCTGTGAGCAGTGTGGAGGGTTGAACCCCTGGTCAGTAGATGAAAAATCTCCTTTTCACTCCCCACCTGAATAACCAACCCCCTGCCAGCTCTTCCTGCAGGTGCAAAAGCCTTACCTCCAGTCTTAAGAGAGGCAAATGAGAGTGGCCAGGGTGGGATATGGGCTGTGGGGGCACAGAGAGTCTCTGGGGTTCCTCGTTTGGTTGTTCTGGAGGTTCCTGGTGCTGCTGTGGGGTTTGCAGGAGTATTTTACTAACGGGATGCCCCTGGCCATGCCGTGTCCCGCTGTCACTCGGAGCAGCCAACTGGGTTTTCTGTGTGACTTGTCAGGAAAATTCACATCCATTTTATTGAACCAAAGGGAAGAAAAGGGGGGAAAAGTGCTGGCTTGTAGTAATAAAGGGCTTTGGAACATCTCAGCTGGATATTTTTCTTCACGAGTGAGAAGGCCAAATGTTATCTTGACATTTAATCTTTAATAATAAAAAAAGGCTCTTTGTTTGCCAGCGAAGTCCAAAATCTGTTTACTCTCTCATGCCTTATTTCTTTGAACTTGCTAGCTTAGATGTCCTACTTACCCTCCCCTGCTACCAGCCCAGAGCTGTGGTGAATCCTTTCTTGTGCAGAACTGCCTTGCCTGTCACCACAGAGCCACCAGCTGCCAGGTGTGCTCCTCTTGACCAGGTCATGCCTTGGAGAGCTGGGGATGCTCTCCAGGGGGAAGGGGCCCGGGCAGCAGAGGCTCAGCCTGTGCCCAGCTCAGCACTGCGGTGGAGCACGGGGCTGGCTCCAGCTGCTCTCCAGGAGAACCCTGTGGTCAGTCCACGCTTGGGCACGGGTCACTGCAGGCCACCAGACCTCATCACCCATTCTAGTGTCGGATCTAATGGATCTGGTGGAGATCCTGGGCAGTTGCAGCCAGAGGAAGAGGCTGAAGTAGCCTCGGGGCAGCCTGGAAGGTGGAGGTGGAGGCGATGGGGTCGGTGCCCAGCGGGGTTTGGGGCAGGCTGTGGTGGTGGGCCCATGTCCAGCCCTGCTGGCCATCGTGTCCTGGCACTCCCTGCGGTGGGGACACGGTGGGGACACGGTGGGTGTGGCAGGGCAGGCTCCCTGTGCTCCCCAGGGACCTTGCAGGTACCAGCCAGGTGTAGCTCCAGCTTCCCGCAGCCATCTCCATCCAGCTCCTCCCAGTCCACTGACTTTTCTTTCACATTGAAACTTCTTCCTCATAAATTCTGCATCCAAGAGCAGCCGTGAGAAATGCCAGAAGCCTGATCATCTAACATGCTTTAATATCTAAATTTCTTCTTCAGTATCATTCTTATTTACATTGTTTTTCTTTCTCAAAAAAAAATTAAGGGAGGAAAAAAATTAAATTTTCTTTTACTTCCACATTAGGAGGTGAGTTGTCATCCACCCTCTGGAATTCTTTTTTGCTTTTGATCTTTATTTATTTGTTTAATTTTGGTTGATGTCCCAAGCATGGTTTTGGAGACGAAGGTAGGTCTTCGCTCTCCAAATCAAAAAGAAAAAAAAAAAAACCCTAAATAAAACATCACTCTCCTTGGTCATATTTAAAAGAGAAAAATCCAAACTGTTCCATTCCATATCATTTAAAGTAAAAAAAAAAATCACCTACTGAACTATTTCTACAGCTCACTGATCTAAAAGGGCAGGTTTTTTCCAAAAGTATCGAATGGATCCAAAAAACGATTTTCCTAGACGTGATTCAAGTTATTTGCTGTCAACATTTTAATATCAATATTACCACAATGTGTAGTCTCAAACTAGTTCCTTTGTAGTTTGCATGGGATGTGAATGCTGTCTCGGCGTGCCCAGACCTAGAGAACTTGTTACTACTGCATGAGCATCAAGTCAGATGTTGAAAAATACCTATTATATTTTGTGATAATTTGGTGAAAATGAGCACCTCCAGTCTCTGGTTGCAGTAGTGTGTTGAATGATTGTTCTTTTTTTTCTTTTTTTTTTTTTTTTTATTATTTTTCTTTTTTTTTTTTTTTTTTTTTTTTTTTTTTTTAATATATATCCATATATATATTTTTGGAGCTCTAAGCTTCGTAGTAGTCCGGGCTGACTCTTCTCCAGTACTTGCTCTCCTCTCGCATGGCCTTGGTTAAGTGTTAGAATTGGGCCTAGGCTGTTTATTCTGGTGTTTGGCTTTGTAATTCCGGTGCATGCCCGGCGTCTGGCCTCATACCCAGCTTTATTCTCTGCACACCAGTCTTGAATAGCTACAGTGCTCAACCGAATTTTGGCGCACCCGCTTCCCCGGCAGGCTCCAACCCAGCGCGGCCCGGAGGCTTCCCCGGGGCCAACAGCCCCGGGCCCGTCGCGGATCTCTACGGCACGGCCAGCCAGGACTCCGGCGTGGGTAACTACATAAGCGCCGCCAGCCCGCAGCCGGGCTCCGGCTTCGGACACGGCATCGCCGTAAGTACCGGCGGCTCGGGCTGCGCGAGGGGCTGCGCGTGTGGGGTGGTGGTGGCCCCGCGGCCGCGGGGCTCCTCGCTGCCGGAACCTGGGACCTGCCAGCTCGGGGCGCTGATTATCCAGCTGCAACCGTCAAGGTTGGAAAAAGCTCCGGAATCACCGAGTCCAGCCTTTGACCGCTCGGCCCTTGTGAGCCTTGTATCACAACTTGCCGCGTTCCCAGCGATGGGGACTCCACCACTGCCCCTTCCAGGGATTAATCACTCTCACACTGAAGAAATTCTGTCCTAATGTCCAACCTGAACGTCTCTTGGTGCAAACACTCCTTTGGAGCCATCTGCAGCCAGACGTGACCTGTCTCAAAGAGAAATATTTCATAAATATGGGATTTAAATACCTGCTTGTCCATATGGGCTTTATTACATCAGCCCAACTACCCCTCCTGGCTGCTGCACCCTTTGGCAGGCAGAACAACAATCCTTGCTCCCACGAAACGAGCAAAATCAGCTCATTAATTGGGGTGGTGGGACCCCCAGCAGGGGACAGGACATGTCCTGCTCCTCTTCGCCTGTCTGCTGACCCTTGGGTCCCTCCCGGCCTGTCCTGGCGTCCCCGGCAGCCGCTGAGAGCCGCAGGTTCCGAGCGAGGGGCCGCGCCGGGCGCGGGTCCCTGGGAGGTGCCGCCTAACGCCGCCGTGGGGCTGCGACCGCACTAATGAGGGCAGAGATTGGCTTAACGAGGCTGCACTGGCTGTGTCACCTGTGTGTGAGCATGAATGGGGCTGGCCTGCCCCGCTGGCACCCCCAGCACAGACTGCAGCGAGGCTCCTGCCCTTCCTGGGGCGCAGGCCAGAGCTGCTTTTATCTCCTGGACAACGAGGAAGTGCAGAGGCTCCCCCGAAGCTCCCTCAAACCGAGAGGAGAACTTCTCTCCCTGAGTGTAGTGCAGACAAAGCTCCCGAAGCTGTTATTTTTATTGCAAAAAAGACAAACAAACCCTTTGCCTGGCTTTGTGCCCGTGTGCTCAATTCCCATCCCGGGCCTGCCCCTCCCATGGTCACACCATGGATTTGACAATCCCTGTGGATCAATTCTAGCACAAACATGGAATATTGCTGCTCTGCAAGGAGCTACATCCATTCAAATTGCCACCTCTCGCCACTTACAACATCTCTTATTTCCATTTTTCACCTAAAAACCTGCTTGTGCTTGAAAACTTGGGCACTTTTGTATCAGCAACATCCCGATTTTTCAAGTGAAACGACACCAGGTCCAAGCCTGGGTATCCAGATTTGTCTGCACTAACACTTCCCAAAGAACCATTTTATAATTGACTTGCAGATTGGTAGCCTCTTAATTCCCCCAATAACTGCAAAGAATCCCGTAGCTTTTATTACATATATATTCATTTAACACTCCCCATTTACTAACCCTGGTTTAAAAATAAAGAAGGGAGAACCCCAAAGCTTATTTTTGCACCTGGGGGAATGAGAAGATGATGGTCTTGGAAAGGTGACCACAGGGCTGAGCACACCTGGTGACCAGAACAGCTCTTGGAAATCCCTATTCATGCTGGCAACACAGTCTTTCAAGTCCTTTGATAATTTCTTGGCAAAATTAATAATCAGCTGTTCCCATGTATAGAGCACTGATGAACTTAACAATTGTACAATTTTAGGGACCTTTGATTGCAACGGCTTTTACAAATGGATACCATTGAAACGTTACACATGGTTGGTTGCCATCTCACTTGGAGGTATTACAGTATATCCCATTTGTACTTTGTGCTGAACTACCATCTCCCCTATATTTACTTTAAGTGAACAATTTTTTTATCTTCATTTCGTCTTTCCTTGGCCTTTAATCATTCCTTTCTGTGATTTGTGTTACTCGAATCAACCTCACGGGCTGGAAACTGGAAGACAGATCCAAAGCTAAAATAAAAGTCACTTTTCCATCTTCATGATGCTTCATGCAATAATTTGAAGAGGCAGAAAACCCAGAAAGCTGTGGGGAATCACCCCCAGTGCCAGCAGCCAGAATCCCAGTGGGATCAGAGATCTGCTCCCAGCGCACTGGTTTAAAAATAGCTGAGCCACTGCTTTATTCCTGAGAAACCATCATTCTTAATTAAGTGGAGTTCCAAATATTACAGCTAAAAGATAACATTGTAACTTGTAACCATAGAGCAATTATCAAGATTAAAAAAAAATTAAACCTGAGCAAATTAAATTAAAGGCATTACCTGAGCACCACAGCCCTGGATCGCTGCCAGTTTCCTACCCTTTGAACTAAGCTCGAGTTAATTAAATGTTTAATTTTTATTTTTTATTATTGTTTGGCCTTTGGCATATTCATCTTTGCAAACAAATATTCTTAACACTCGGCATGGAATAGATTAGAAAATGCAATGAAAAACAGAAGTTATCCCAATTAAATGGCATGGGTTTGCCTCCAGAGCTCTGAGCCCGGACAGGCAGATGGAACGGATGCGACAGATTTTATTTCCCTGCCTCTTGCCCAGCACTACATGATCAATGTCACATCATTTACGTTCAAAAATCAGTCTAGGAAATCAGAATTAAAGTTAGTCAAGGGGCTGGGAACTGTGGAAAACGTTTGGAGACTTTAAACTACATAAAAATAGATTTATACCTAAACACTAGTGGATAAAGGGGGTCTCTATTTACTCTCCATCTCCACACACACCCCCAAGATTACCTGAAATTGTTCCATCAATTGATTTGCTCCACCAAGGAGTGTTTTTTATGGGGAAAAGTGCCATAAGCACTCTTGCTTAATCCCAGCTATTACTTGCACGTAGCAGGGCCTGCTCACCGATCAATTTGTCAGCATCCTTCACGTTTCCTGGGCCGCCAGCCTCTGGAATGGTGAGGTGGTACCCGAGGCCAGCTGGAGCTGAGCAGAACATCATAAGTCAGGCTAATAACGCGCGGTGACGGCAGCCCCGCCAGATTGATGGGCTGTAATCACTCCTCACTTAGCACAGCCCATCACTGCAGCCATCACTTACTGGCCAGTGTTGAGACTCAAACCATTAACGACTTCAAAACAAAGTGCTTTTAATGTTGCTCATTACTAATTAAAATGGATTTTGAGAGGAGGAAATGAGCCTTATTATTAATTCCTCAAGGAGCGCTGAGTTTGAAACGCTTGCGGCAGCGGCTGGTCCTGGCATCCCCAGGGCAGGATTTGGCTGAGCTGCAGGTCCCCGGGGCAGGGATCGGTTCCCACAGCCCTCAGGATGCTGCTGGGACCTCACCCCAGCACAGCTGCTTGGGGATGGGTTTTGGAGGTCATCGGGGAGCATCCTCTCCTGGCCATCATCCCCGTGAGCGGCTGCCTGCAGAGCCGGTGCCCTAAATATTTATATTTCTTTTCTACCTCATATATCTCAGCTTTAAGCACTGGCAGGGACAGAGCATTGGAGGCTGTAGAAAATAAATCCTGGCTGCCTCAGTGTGCCCAGGTAGAACTTGTCACCTTGCAGGTACTTCAGAGAAATCCATTTTCCCAAAGCCGTGTGAATTCACGGCGTAACAGATGCCTGAGGAGCCGCTTTGGTCCCGGCCGTGCATCAACTCACACTTTACTGTTCCTAAACTGGAAATAAGAGCAGGGAACACATGAGACCCCCTCTCCACGGGGGCTGTCCTGGGAACAGCTCAGCACTCCAGCATCCTCCCTCAGGGGTGGATGAGGCAGGCTGTGGCTGCAAAGTGTTTGCAAACACTTTGGGGTATTTTTGTTAAAAATCCTCATCGACCTCAATTAACTGTGCCTCTCCGTGTCCGTGTCCACCTTCTCCCCACACAGAGTCTCTCTGGATGTCCGGGCAAGACAGGGCGAAGTTTCTGAAGGGGCCCACGGTTGGGTGATCTCGTCAGACTTTGAGCACTACATCATCATCATCATCTTCATCACCATCACCGCCAACGCAAACTGGAGGTGGCACTCGAAGGACTTGGGTTGTTTAAAATCTCTCTCATCATCTCATGAATCTGCTGTACTATAAAAACAACAGCCTTTAAAAGTATGTATATAAAACCCATTTCTTGTTCGTTTTATTTTCTCGATGGGTTCCCCCCCCTCTTTTTAAACCTCTCCAAACCCACATCTTTTCGTAGCCTTTTTGACATAGTCTCGTAGCCACGTAGTCAGAATTCTTTGTGTATGTAGCGAGAGGCTAACCATAGTGTAACTGTTATATTAAGGGGTTTCTTTTGCTTTTTCTTTCCCACCTCCTTTCCTCCTCCTCCTCCTCCTCCTCCTCCTCCCTTCTGTTTTACGTAGTTGTTGTTGCTTAAAGGATGCTGAGATGGTGACAGGAGCCTCGGCCGCGGGGGGAGCGGAGCCGGCGGCGGGCGCAGCACGGGGGGCTGGCAGGGCACGGGGAGGGGGGAGCAACAGGTTCTCTGGCCCTTCTTTTCCTTTGTGGCGTCTTGGTTCCTCTAATTCTCTCTATTTTCGGCAATAAGGCGAGGGCGACAAACTTTTTGCGCGTCCTTTTTCTATATAAGTGCTTTTTTTTGTTGAAAGAGGTGATATAAAGGTTTTTTAAAATCGCGACTTCTGGAAAAAAAAAAAAAAGAAAAAAATAATAAAATGCTGTAAATACAATTCCATTAACTACATAGAAACTATTAAGAAAGAGAAAGACAAACCTATTTTTGTGACGGAGTCAGCCTAAGGCGGTTTCTCTATGGAAATGGATGACAAAGACAAGGAAGCTGTAGCTCGGAGCGCCTGCCGGAGCTGGCCCGGGGGGTCGTGACGCTCTGGGACCCCCCAGCTCATCCCAGCAGCTTCACCTCCGACGTGCACAGCTTGCAAAGGAACAGTCTAGTGGTATTTTTATTTTAATTTAAAACCTGCTTTTCCCAAAACTGATCAAGAAGCTACGATTTTTCCTACTTAGCACATTTACGGTTCAAAGCATACCTTTATTTTGGTGGTTTTTTTTGGATTTTTTTTTTTTTAGTCATTGTTTTAAACTAGATCAACTTGCTGTCCAGTCATTTCAGCTGCTCTGGGCACCCCATGTGGGCAGAGCAGCGTCCAGCTTGCATGGTTTCCTTTATTATCCATCATTTTCTGTATTGTCAAATTAGAAAGCAACTTCGGTTGGTTTTGAGTTATTTTTTCTTTTTTTTCTTTTTTTTTTTGGGAATACCTCAGTGCTACAAGTTTCACCCTAGAAGCAACGGAAGATTTTAATTTATTGTAGTTGTAAACAGAATTTAAAAGAAATAAAGTATAAAACATCATTGCACTGTGACTGGTAGGGGAAAAACTGACAGTTTCCTATTTGCACATGTTTAATATTTGGCTGTTATATATATGGTCCTCTGTTGGGGGAGGAAACTTATGAAGGATATTTTTTAATTTAATTTTTTTAATATTGGTAAATAGGCCTGCAACAGCAAACTAGAAGTACAACATGGTAGGTGGCATTAAGAACATACTGTAGTGTGGATATATTTCTTCTTTTTTTAACGTAATATTGACAAGTTTTATTAATATTTTTTTAAATTGTTACGTTTATAAATTTGGTACTTTAGGTACAGCCAGTATAAGACACTGAATGCGACATTTGTTAAAAAGAGCTGCTGCACTCCTATTTTTGTAAATTTTACTAACAAGTAGACTAATGTAGACATTCAATAGACAAGGTAGAGCAAGGCATCTTTAACAAAACAAGGCACCATACTGCTAACCGAAAGGAGAAACCTTGTTTTTCTTGTTTTTAAAAAAAATCATGCTTTTTATGTAATATTTTAGGTTTTTTTCTTATTTCAGAACAACCAGGTTTAAGCAAAATGCTGGACGCTTTTTAAATATTGAGACTTGATCAAGTAATAAAAGAAATAAAACCGAATTCTTTAAAAAATAAAAAGGTAAAAAAAAAAAATACTACGAACCAAATTCCCTGCGATTCAGTGTGCCGTCAGGGAATTTTTTATTGCTATTTTGTCAATGTTGATGATGTACTGTACTACCAGTTGGTTTTCCTCTCCATTCCCTGTCACCTCATAGAATATTCTTTGTTGATCATTGTTGTATGTTAATAGTGTATAAAATGGCTTATCTTGTAAGAGTGCTGTCCTGATGGTAGTGTAGTGAATTTCCCCCCCCTCTTTCTCTCTTCCTCTTCTAGTACATATTGGTAGGTGTATCGTAATTAAGGTTAAAAATTTAGATGTAGTTATTCAGATTTAGGACCAGTAAGGATAGAACTTTCTCTTATTTAAGAAAAACAATGCTAATAATTTTGGGAAGGTTTTCCTTTATTTGTTTTTTTCTTCTCTTTTTTCTTTCTGTGCTTTTTTCTCTTTTTTTTTTTTTCTTTTGTTGATCTGATGCGGTTTCAACTAACCAAAGGTCTCACAATGTTTAAAATGCTGGCAAACTCTTAAGGCATTTGTAGATCCCCACCCATGACTTTGGAAAGGGGATGTGCCATACTACCTTAAATGCTAATGCTAGATATGCAAAACTGGATTTTTTTAATTTATTTTTTAAAAGAGGGAGGCACGGTATATTAAAACGATTTTACTAAGAGAAAAAAAAAACCATATTTTTTTAAGAATGCTCAGAAGAAATTGCTAATCTGTGTGAATATGTTTTAGATGTTTATATACCTTTTGAGAAGTCCCAGTGGCCCATAGCACAAATGTCGTGGAATCCAAGATGTTTTGATGTGGCTACCTAGACTAAGGTTCACGTTAGTCCCCACTCATGTAGAAATCAATTTTGAAGGATTTTTTTTTTCCCTTCGTTCGTTTGGGGTTTTTTTGTAAATTTTTCAGCACAAAGGCTCAGCTCCACCTTTGTTTTAGTCAAGCCCAGGAGGGAGCGAAGGATGGTGGCATCACAGAGTGGTTTGGGTTGGGAGGGACCCTGAAGGTCCAGTGCCACCAGGGACACGTCCCGCTGTCCCAGGGGCTCCAAGCCCCGTGCCCAGCCCTGCTCCAATCTCCCAGCTGGGACGAGCCACACTGGGTGTCCTGGGCACCCAAGGGCCAGTTCCAAACACAGGGACATTCCCGAGGAGCCACCAGGGCTTGGGACCTCCCCTTCCCATAAAGTCCTTTGTGATCGGCTTGATTAAAGTGAAGCCTGATCTGTCCTTTGGGGTTTTTATTTTTTCTTACACTTCATAAATGTTCATTTTGAGTTGAATTTGTAGCTTGGGCTTTAAGGTAGCATGGCTCTCTTTGCTGTAAGTTGATTTTTTTTTCCATTGTACAGCAGCGTCTGCTGGTGAATGTCACACATCTTGCTAGGCTTAGTTAAATCATTGGGTAATTGTGGGTGATAACGACCTGAAAGGTGTTGGGATTTCTTTTCTTCCCTGCTTTCATCTGTAGTGTGAATGAGGGCTAGGGACTCCAGCCACACATCCCTTCCTGTTTTGTTTCTGCCATTCACTCAATGCAACATAATCAATAATAAAGCAATATAGTTTACTACATTTTTACTGAAGGCCAGCCATGGTTCTGTATGATATTGCATATGAAACTGTTTACAAAAACAAAAAAAAAAAAAAAAAAAAAAAAAACAAAAAAA